CAGGAAGACACCCAGAATCCATGATCAAACCATCCCCAGACATAGGCTGGGAGCAAGGAGGGGCGGACCATGGAGCTGTGACCAGGAGCAGGGCTCACCTGGGGACCCCCTTTCTTGGCAGCACTTTCGATTTCTTTGGGCCTCAGGAGAAGGGGACACTGTGGGCTAGTCCCCTGGGCAAGGAGGAGGGGCAGGTAGATGGAAGGAGCAAGTGGTCTCAAGGGGCTGCAGCAAAGGGGTCTGCTGGGGCAGAGAGGGGCCTAGCCCGGCCCACCCCTCCCCAGCCAGCACCCTGCCCAAGCCCCCCACCCCAGCCAAGGCCCCCAGCCCTGGACTCCAGCCTTCTCCTCTCAGGATGGGCACTGGCTCCTAGGCTACTCCTGATGCCAGGCTGTCCAGCCCTTGGGACAGAGACGAGAGCCTGGGCCATAATTCCTGAGTCCTAAGTCTGAGGGTGGGGTCCCTTGGGGTCATTATTCTCATTTCTCGCCTGTGCAAACAGGGAACTGAAGACTGGATGGGAGAGAAGGCTTGTCCAAGATCACACTAATCCACAAATCAGTGATGGCTGGCCCCGGGAGGTGCCCCTCTGCGGGGGCGGGGGTCACAGTTAAATTAGCCTCACCACAACTCACATTCCCAAGGCCCTGCCTTCTCCTTTTAGATCCACAATTCTTATCCCCACCGTACAGATGAAACTGAGGCTCCGCAAGGGGCTGCTGGGGCTGTGCTGTCCTGGGAACCAGTCTCAGTGTGAGGGAGGACCTTGGAGACCCCTCTTCTCTCTGAGTGTTCAGCGTGTGGGTGCACGGTGAGGGGTGGGGACAGGTGAGTGGGGACTCAGACTCCAGTGGTCAGGGTTCCACCACAAACCCACGCACGTCCATCCTTCTGCACGGTATGCTGGCTGGCATTCAGGACATGGACGTAGAGTCAGACAAGCTGGAACCCTCTGTTCACACCATGGGTCCTGCCTCCCATGAGGCTCAAGTCCTGCTGTCCTGCAGAAGTGTCCTTCTCACACCCTGTCCCTTGCCACCGTGGTCCAGCCCCCATCACCCACTCTGAATGACTGTCCCAGCCTCCTCACTGTTCCCTGTCCTGCACACTTCCCCTCAGGCTATTCTGCACTTAGCAACCAGGGAATCTTTCTAGTGACAACCAGACCCTGTCAGACCTGGGCTTAAAGCTCTTTAGGGGCTCCTCTGTCCTCTGGACCACAACTGGGCTCCTCACCGGCCCATTCAGCCCTGGAGAAGGGGCTACAGCTTCTCCTTTGCCTGCGGCAGGGGTGGAAGGGCCCTGGGGCCAGAGGAGGAGGTGTGGGTGTGGAGGGGGGCCCGATGGAAATTCTACAGATGCACAGATGATGGCATCTGTACAGGGCAGATGATGACCCCTGGAGGTGTGCACAAGGCAGCCCTGGGAAGGGGGCTGGCTGCCTGAGCAAACGGGGTTCCAGCAGGTCGTCTGTCCGGGCTCATCTGACCCAGCCAGAGACAATGAGGCTGAGGCCTCATCTTACCTCTGGAGAGTTGCTAATGTTCTTTAATGGCCATGCCTGGGAAGGGATGACCACACCCAGGCCCCACCCTGATGAGAGGAGGCTGGAGTCAGAGGCAGGTGGCTCCTTGTTCACAATGGGACCTGCTTGGACTTGTCCTGTCTGAGAAATGAGGGGGCCGTGTGTGTTTGTGTTTGTGTGTGTGTGTGTGTGTGTGTGTGTGTGTGCGCGTGCGCATGCACATGCATATCTGTCTGCTCCTTCACAGGCCGGAGGGCAAAGGCCCCCAGCCTGACTAGGGAGGCAGGACCTGAGAGGGGGGAAGGCTTCACTTTGACTCTGACTCTACGATGCCCCATCTGAGCCTCGCTGTCCCCATCTGCATGGGGTAGGGGAATAGGACGATTCTGAACCCTCCCTGGGCTCTCAGGTCTGCTGAGTATCAGGAGTCCGATGGGACTCAGCCCAGGAGGCCTCAGGGAGGAGATGAGAGGGCTGTGCCCAGATAGGGCCCAGAATAAGAAGGGGAAATGTATCAAAGACCAGGACCCAGACACCCTCCATGCAACCCAGGCTCCTGGGGCGCCCACAGGTTAACATGTTAGCACGCTCCCTCCAGAGACACCTGGCTCCTGCCTCAGGCTCTCTGGCTTCTGCTAGGGTTTGGGTGTGGGTGCTGGTGTTTCCGGCCACATTCATACTGACGCAGAGGGCAGGCCCAATGCAGACATAGTGTCCGGGGGCAGGCCCACATGTGCCAGGCAGTGGCAGCAGCAGAGGAGGGGGCAGGTTCCAGCATGAGCCTGCTGCCTGCCCCCACCCTGCCCCTTTTATGAGAGATGAGTATGCTTGCACTCAGGGAGGGGCCCTGGGGGGGGGGGAGTTGCCCCTCTCCTGGGGGCTGGCTCCCCCTCTCCCAGGCTCAGAGCGTGATCACCCTAGGGAAATGTTCATTTCTTTTGTTATCTCCTTGTCAGACCTCCGCAAAGTGACGGCTCCACAGTGTTACAAGTTCTTTCTCATGTCCAGCCTTAGTCACTCCTGCTATTGTACCTGATTCATTTATCAGAGGACAAGTTGAAGGCCCCATTATCCTGCCACCCAGCCTGACATCACTGGACTTCCCTCAGGCATGTTCCCACTCCTGGGACAGCCCAGCCGGCACAGGAAATGGCTGCTGGATGAATGTGCCAGTGAGTGAGTGAGTGAGCGACCGAGTGGTTCAGATCCTCCTCCTATAAGAGCTAAGAAGTGACTAAGAAGTGGATGAGGGGGTCCCTGGGGCCTGGGCTGAGATGGAAACAGAAACAGGGACCTAAAGGAAGTCAGAGAGAGTCTGGAGGAAAGAGATGAGACTGAGGGCACAGAGACAGAGCAGATGCAACCACAGAGAGCCAGTGCCCAGGAGCTCAGGGGACACCGGCACCAAGGGCCTCCGCCAAGGATGACCTGGAATGGACAGGGCCCATGGGGGGACAGAAACAGGGTAGAATAACAGGAGCTCAGAGTGGACCATGAGGCGGATCAGAGGAACCATGAGGCAGGAACTGGGGACAAAGCTCTCAGGGACCCAGGGTGGAGACAGCTGTCTAGAGTGAGCATGGCATAGCCCAAGGTCACAAAGCGAGGACGCAGGGCCCCAGCCACCCAGCCCTGACTTGGCCCTCTGTCCCCACGAGAGGGAAGCTGAAGGGAACTGTGGCTAGGCATGGTGTTGAGGTGTGAATTTCTACAGATGAGGACACTGAGGGTCAGAGAGGCCACCTGGCTTGAGGTTGCACAAGAGGTAAAGCCCCCTAGTCCTCGGTTTGAGGAGCCGGCTCAGGAGGCAACCACTACTTCCACCCCCCCATCCTGTGCTTGGGCACGCTGGCACTGCCAGGCACTTACTTGGCCTATCGAGGGCCCAGCCCCCAGCCCAGCACTCGCGGGCACTCGCGGGCTTCCCCAGCCCTCGCTGAGGGCAGCCAGAGGGAACAAAGGCCCAGTCTCTGCCTGTTCAGGCCCCCACCCCCTTGCCTGCCCCTGGCACAGAAGGACCAGAGCCCTGAGGGAGCCCAAGAGCAAAAGCAGCACCGGCCCCTTTGCCAATGTTGCGAGAACACCGCCCCCCCACCCCGCAGCCCCAGGCCTGCTGACTGCACAGCAGTGTTCCCCCATTCTAAAGATGGGAAAGCCGAGTGAGAAGAGCGAGGAGCTGGCAGCCACACAGCTGGGATTCGAACCCAGGCCCCTTTGCTTGCAGAACTTGCTTTCTACCCCTTATCATATGCGTCAACATATGACTGTGTTCTGGTCAAACGTAACTCAGAAGCAGAGATGGGTCAGGGACAGAGAAGGTAGAGCCTGGACAGCCCAACAGGGAGAGTCCTGGGAAAGGATCTGAGTTGCCCTCCCCCATCCGGCCCTGCCTGCCTATCTTCCCTGGGGCCAGCCCAGTGCTGGTCACAATGGAAGGGATAAAGCCAGGTGAGATGCAGAGACAGGGAAACTGAGTCAGCACCCAGGCTTCCTAGTTCCTGACTGGGGCTTGCTCGATCCAGCCAGAGGTGAAGGAGCCATAAGCCCCTCTGGAGCCTCCATTTCCCATCTGTAACATGAGCTGTCGCTCACTGGGGGCCTCGATCCCTCAGGCCATGGCCACCATCCTTCTCCAGACCCCTTTCCTGCGCCCTGCTCCCACCAAGGGCAGAGCCTTGAGCCCCCAGAGGGGCCTGCGTGCAGGGCCAATGCTCACCTGCTCTGGAGAAGCTGGCACGGCCCACTGCTCCCCGTAGGCCCAGATCAGGAAATGAACACACTGTGCTCATCACGCCCCGAACACAAAAAACACTGGGTATCTGGGTGTGATTGACCCCACTTCACAGAGATGGAAACTGAGGCCACCCAGCTCCTGAGAAGCAGAGCAGGGCTGACCTGTCTCTGACCAGGTTTCACATCCCACTGGTGTCCCAGGGACTGTGGGGGTGGGGAAGATGATAAACGCACATCCCCTGTCCCACCTCCAAGAGCAGCAAGAGAGAGGGCCAGGAGCTCGGAGCCCTGGGGCAATCCAGGCAAGGTCTGAGTGGATAGCCTTGGGCGATTCTGGGTGAGCAGGGGCTCAGTTGTGTGACCTTGGTCCCCGAAACCTCTCCAAGCCTCCATCTCCTGTCAACCAATCAGCAAAAGTGCACAGAGAAAGCCCCGATGCCCCTGCCTGCAGGACTGGGGGAACGCCCAAATCCCAGCTTCACCCAGAGGCCTGGCTGCTCCTCCCAGCTGTGGGCACCTCTGACCCGTCAAAGCAAGGGCCCAGCAGGACCCGGGCCGGACCAGGCCACCACCTCATGCAGAGCAGGTGCTGGGGTGGTGGCCACAGTGCCCCTCCTTGCCCGAACCCCGTGGCCCCAGGCTCTTATTGGACACCACAACTCATTTTAAAGAAAAAATAATATTTATTTGCAATATAAACAAAGTCCCGCTGCTGGTTCGGGAGATATATATGTATGTGTGTGTATATATATGTAGGGTCACAAATTTTCCTTCATAAGATCATAAAGCAAAACTGGCCACCCTCTTGGCCTACCCTCATTTACACAAATCTGATGCGTCGTTCTGGGTTTTTCTTTTTAAAAGTAAAAAAGAGAGAGAAAGAGAACCATGTACAGCATGGAAGCTTTTTGTCAATTTCTCAACTGTGGCAAGATTTTAATCCGCTGCCTTAAAGAATCCCTGAAAACAACCCCTGTGAGGTAAGATGCAGTGGGGGGCAGAGTTTCCGTGGCCTTGCTCACATGCTGAGTGCTAGCTCGCTCAGGGACCCTGGCCCGACCACTCACCCCTGCCCGGCCCCCATGCAGTCCTGACACCTGGTAGAACTGAGGTTGGAGAAGGAACAAAACAGGAGGAGGATAACGGAATCCGTGGCTTTGTTCTGCGCGTACTGGGGGTGGGGTGGGGGTGGACAGAGTCTCACATCCCTTCACTTGTCCATCCTCGCTGCCGCCCCCCTCACCTCCCCGCTGCCCCTGCCCTGGGATTGAAATGGGTGCAAGTTTCCTGGTAGTAGATGGGCAAGATGAGCACAGGGCAGGCTTCCACGGGACAAGGGGGCTGGGAGTGGCAGCTGAACCAAAGCAACAGCCAGGGTGAGGGGCAGAAACTTGGGAGGCAGGGCTGGGCTTAAGTTACCCCAGCCACTGGGCCTCCACTCTCAGTTACAAACAGACAGAGACAGAAAGAGACAGAAGTAGTGGGTACGTACAGAAAAGGGCCCAGGGCCCAGGCCCTGTGAGGGGCTGAGCCCAGAGGGCTAATGCTACTGCCTGGCAGTCCCCCGTGGCCCCACTGGAGGGGCAGCTGGGAGGGCAGAGAATACAAAGGCCACCCGCCCAGCCCACCAATCACAACTTGCAGCAGTCATCACCAGCAAACGCAGTGCCAAGTTGGGCTGGGCCAAGGTGGGAGATGTGGGCATGACCAGGGGTCCGACGCCGAGAGCTGCACGCCACCCCTTCAAGAAGGGCCCGCTGCAGAAACGGAGGCTTCACACATGTGCAAAACGCATTTGGTCAAGATCAACACGGGGTTTGTCTTTTCCGTTAAAAAAAAACTGCTTTTTGAAATAGAAAGAAAAACAAAACGGAGAACACTTCTCTCTCTCGCAGGATCAAGAAAGGGATGAAATACTGGTTTATATAATCCACCATTGCATGTAGCCTGAAAATAACACTTTTCATTAAAAAAAGAAAAATCAAGAAGAGCTCGAACACTCTCTGTGCTCCAGGGAGCTTGGATTTACCTGCCAAAAGTAAAAAGTAAACTCAGGTCCGTGGATGTGTCTTTAAAAAACAGCCAGACTGGCTGGGCCATCAACAGAAAGGAGTGTCCTAGGCCAAGGATGAGGCCTCGTTGGACTCTCAAAGCCATGTGCCTGAGAGCCGAGGGCCTCTCCAGAAAGTCCTGCAGAGAGAGGCCTCGCTGTGGGCTCCGGCCTCCCTGGGATGGTGAGGGAAGCTCGGCCACCCATCAGCCTGGGCCTCTAGGCACAGGCGATGTCCAGGTTCCTCAGGCCAGATGCAGCAGGCGTGGGCCCTCCCACCTGGCCCTGAGAAGGGCCTGGGAGGTGCTGGCACCCCGCCCACCTGTGCCCCCAGCCTCATGTGGACTCAAGAGTGTTGAGTGGGAACAGGTTGTGGTTGGTGGGAGTGGAGAAGTAGAGTTGCTCGCTGGGCGTGTGGTTGTCGCATGGGCTGCTCAGCCCCAGCGTCCGCTCGAAGTCCAGCAGCTGCCCCATAAAGTTGAAGTTGGGTGAGATATTGGACTTTTTCCTCTTGACAAAGTCGTAGGCGTCATTGAGTGACAGGTTCATCTTCTGCATCAGGTAGGCCACAGTGACCGTCACTGAGCGGCTGATGCCTGCCAGGCAGTGCACTAGGACACCACACTTCTTGGAGCGGGCCTCGTCTGAAACACACAGGCATGGGTCAGGGAGGCCCTCCTCCAAGGAGCCACAGCAGGTGGGGCGGGGGCACAGATGGTGGCATGGTCCCTGGCTGGCGCTGCCTGACTCTTGAAGTCCCACGCAGGGAGGACAATAACTTGGGGCAGAGGTCAAGAGCATGACTGTTAGCTGCATGTTAGCTCCAACTCACTGGAATCCCTGCACCTCAGTTTTCTCATCTATACAATGGGTCTCTCACTCACAGTGCTCTCATAAGGACCTGTGCCAAGTGAAGGCTCCACAAACACGAGCAACTGTGACGACTGTAATCACTGCCAGCCCTACTGTGGCTACAACTGTGTGCTACGACTGTGCCGAGGGTGTCACCTCATCCTCTCAGGTCATCTGCACCATGGCTAGTAAGCGAATTTTATAAATGAGGAAACAGACAAAGCAACGAGTTCAAGGCCCCAGCGGTTCCTGCTAACTCGTGGCACCCACCACTGCCAGCCCATGACTAGGGGTGGGGCTGTGCTTGTTCTCCTGGTGCAGCTCCCATGCGCACCCCTGAGAGCCTCCTGGGAAACAGGCCTGAGGGAGGACCCTCCACAAGGGAATGGGGGGCCCAGCCAGTCCCTAGGGCCTCAGCCCTGCTCCTGAATAGCCAGGGACTGGAACAAGGGCCATGCCAGAGGTATCATAAGTGGGGTTTGCTTAAGTGGGGCCCACCCACCCCACTTACTAGACTTCCCCCAGCAGGCCCACGTGCCAGTAACATCTCCCACCGCAGCCAACTAGGTTCTGCCACCCTCCCCTCCACCCTCCACTCTCCCCGCTTCCCCCAGTGCCGCTCTCAGACTCCTCTGCCTGATACACAGGAGGAGCTCAATAAATACTGGTTGAGCCACTAAACAACTCAGTCCTGTAACCTCTCCTCCCCTGGACCCTAGGGCAGCTGCCTCTCAGTGCCACAGCTGTGCCAGGGACATAGATTAACAAGAGGCAGCCCTGGGCCTCAAGGACCCCATCTCCCTGCTTCTGAGCCCACTGGAAGCCAGGCACACAGTTGGCACTCAATCAGTGCACTCCTACAAGATGAGGCACAGGTTCATAAATTGTTCCTCATCTAGTGCTTATTGCCTCTGGCCTGGCAGAGCTTCCCCTCCCCACCCCCACATGAGGGCTATGCATGCAGTAGGTGCTTAATCCAGATTTGGGGACTGACTGGGGAAAGATTAGCAGGGGAAGAGACAGATGTTGTGCCTTGGTGTGGAGCCGTGTAGTCTGACCTTAAGATTTGGGGCAGGAGAAGCGGGTCGTGGAGACAAGACTCCAGTGATGACACACCAGGATATGGGGAACGCCTGGCCCCCAAACCCACTTCCAGGTGATCCAAAGTGAACCCACTTCTGCTGGCTTTATTTTTAGCCCTCTCAGGGTGTGGCTGGGTGGTCGTAGGGGCTGGAGCTTGATCCTGTCCCACTGAGTCCTATGGGATGCTTGGGCCTCAATCCTTCACTTGTCAAATGGGGAATAAGGTTCCCCCCAACCCCTATATCCTGTTCTGTCCCCCTCCCCAGATGTGGAGGGGGCTTCAAGAAGGATAAAGGCCCCCACAAGCCAGGCTCAGCTCTGGGGAATCGGGGTGCCCCTCTTCACTCCCCTCCCTCCCACTCCCCCTGGAGGGACAGCAGGAATGCTGAGGCAGCACCCATAGCCCTCTTGGCCATGTCCTCCAGGGCAGAGCTGGGACGCTCCGGACAATGCCAGTCACAGCCCCTCCCCCAGGCCTCAGCTTCCTTCCTTCCTCCCAGCCAGGCACCTAGTTTTGGTTCCCAGTAAGCGGATGAGGCGGGGAAGCCTCCCACTTCCTGTTATTAAAGCGAGCCCAGCCCAGCTGACACCAAAACGCCCTCCACTGGACACAGCCGCCAGCGGGAGAGGACTGCCCAGGCCATCCCCTCCCTGCCACCGGAGGCTGGGCAGAAAAACTGGGCCACCAGGCTCAGAGAACCCAGGGTTTCCATTCCCCCTGATCTTGTGTCCCTTCCTCACAACCTGGGTGAGAGCCAGGGCCAGGGAAGATGACCTGGAGTTTAACAGCCTCCAGCTGGCCAAGGAGGAAGCAGGATGGGAAGGTCAGAGATAAGGCCCAAGTCAGCTGAGGCTGGGGATGTAGGAGGCTCAGAGGGCTCTAAGCCAGACAGCAGAACACACTGTTCTGGGGGAGGCCTTCCTCTGCCTCCCCCTACATTCTCTGTATACCCCCTATACTCCGAGCAAGCCCCACAAGCTGCCTGGAGCATCTAGGGCCCCACCAAGGCACGCTGGGTAACCACATTCCAATAGCTGCCTATTTGGGGTAGGCCTTTGGCTCTAGGGCCACCCTTCAGCTCCCTCAGGTACACAGTAGAGCCCAAAGAGGCACCGTGACAGCCCCAGCCTGGAGAGACACGTGTGCTGAGGGGTGACGCAGAGAGCGAGACCTGCGGGAGCTCTGTGAGCTGTGACATTTCAGCCCACTAAGCCCGAAACGGCGGGGCCAGAGAAACACAAGCCGGACAGTAGGGAGCCCAGGACTCGGGGGACTACTCAGCGCCTGAGGGCCTTGGTGACTCACAGCAGGCCTGGGTACACCCATGGGCACACGCTGGCACATGCAGGGCACACACAGGCCTTGACAGGCCCAGAGGTACCCAGTCAGGTGCGGGCAACACCCAGAGCACACCTTGACGCGCCTGCCCACACAACCTGCCCAGAGCACAGCAACACCTACCAATGAAGCTGATGGCCTCGGGGAAGAACTGGGAGAGGTTCTGGCTCCAGTGGTCAGAGATGGGGATCTGCTTGTAGGTGAACTCGCCACCGTGCTCAAAGGCATTGGGGAGGTTGGGCGTGACATTGAGGATATACTTGATGCCATACTTTCCGAGCACGTCCAGGTTGGTGGAGTCCTTGGCGCAGCCGAGGTAGAGGTAGGGCAGGATCTGAACGGGGAAGGCCGGTTGGCTGGATGGCACAGGACTGCCGTCTGACTCGGTGGCACTGCTGGGCAACTCTCGGTCTGACTCACCGTCCGAGCAGTCAGAGCTGATGCGAAGGCCCCCCAAGCCCAGCACTGAGGTGGGCGGCGAGCCACTTGGCGAGGACAAGCTGTCCACGTTGGTCTCGCAGTGCTCCGAGTACTCTGTCTGGAACTTGTTGAAACCACCTGTGGCCAGGGTGAGACAGGGCCTGGGTGAGACTGCCGATGCCACTGGTCGATGCCCCCAGCCCAAACGGTCTGCACAAGACCAATGGTGGCCAGGGCTCCCCACGTCAAGCACCATAACACCAACAACGGCCAACATGGGCTGTGCCAAGTATGTTGCACATGTACCTTCTCCTGTTTTCTCCACATCTATTCTATGACCCACTTCACAGATGAGGAAACTGAGGTCCCAGGAGGTGAAGTAACATGCCTGAGCTCCATACCCTCACCCATCAGGCTTCAGTGCCCCAGCCACACCACACCACTTGAGCACTTGAGGACAGACCCCAGCTCATTCCTCTTCCCGTCTTCCATGCACACCTGGCACCCATGGATGCTCAATAACTGCTAAGTGATAAAGGAAAGCAGACAACCCCACCTCAGGCCAGCACCTGTGGATTTGCAAACCCCTCTTATAGATGAGACCTCTGATAGATAGGAGCCAGAGCTACATCTGGGTCAGTTAGAGGCGGAGAGGGCCTGGGCTTCTGACTGGGAGTCCAGTGCTTGGCCACCACCCCCAACCACAGTCAGGGAGGGTAGTGTGAAGGTATTGGCTGGCACTTTCCCCCAAGAGAGACTGGTTCATAAAAGGGGTCCCAACTTCACCTTTCCAGAATCCCCCCTTAGAACACAAGACCCCCCAGCCTTGGACCCACAGAAGGGGAGGGCCGCTGGGGGCTTTACAGGGACAAGAAATGGGGAGCGCCCTGCAGCTAGGCATGGGCCCTGTGCCCGAGGGTGCCGCAGGCCTCCCCTCCCCTCCACGCCTGCCCGCGCTGCTGCCAGCGAGAGGCCATTTTGGAATGTTAATTGGAAACACCGGCTGCAGCCACTCGCGCGCGCGCGCGCGCTCTCTCTCTCTCTCTCTCTACCCCACCACCCCACCGGCGATGCCTCCCCCTTCTATAAGCTCTGGGGAGGCAGGCTGGGGATTTGAGGGCCCGGGAAAACCAGGGCTGGGGCAAGGGACACTGCTTACAGCCCTACCCTAAGCGCCGCCAAGATGCCGTGATCCCCAAGTGGCGAGACCCATGCCGGGATGTCCGGAGTTCCCCACCCAAACAGTCCCTCTGCTCTGGGAGCCGGGATGGTGCTGTGAAAGGCTCCTGTCCTGGCCCTGGCCTTCCAGGGACACGCATTACAGGCTGGAGAAGGTAGACTTGGGTGCCCTGTCGCCCTCGGGGTCCCAGGTGGGGTTCCTCACTCCTCTAAGGGGCTCAGCTGGACCTGAGCGCTGCCATGGCTCCAGCAACAGGAAAAAAGGAAAGCCTAGGCGGGGTAAAGTTTGTTCAGCCCACTCGAATCGTGCCGAGAAAGGGGTGCAGAGGGGGCCCCCGCGCCAGTCTAAACCCGCATCGCGGGGGCCGGGCTCCCGGGAGGGGCGGATGCGGGCCGGGGGGCGACGTGGCGCCGGACCGGGCAGGCTAAGCGCGTGCAGAGAAAGCAGCCTCCGGCGGAGGCGTCAGCGAACCGCAGGAGAGGCCCAATGCCGGACTGGGTCTCGGCGCTGCCCTCACCTTGGAGGTAGTAGGCCTGGCAGCCGTCGTCGCGCAGCTTTTGCAGGAGCAGGCCAAGCACCGAGGCGGGAGCGCCGGGCTCTGGCTGCCACTCGGCCGTAGCCTCATCATAGAGCAGCACGGTGGCCGCCTTGCAGCGCGTGGCGAAGCGCTCCTTGTCGGCGTGGTTGGGGATGATGGAGCGGATGGGCAGGTTGCCCTTGCGCAGGCGGCGCAGCATGAGGCCCGGGATGGCCAGGTTGATGGCCGTCTCGATGTGCGACGACTCGAAGAGCTCGTGCGGCCGGCAGTCGAGCAGCAGCAGGGACGCACCGCCGCGCGCCTCCAGCTCCTCCTGCAGCCACTCGGCGCTCTTGCAGGGCATGGCCCCCGCACCAGTCGCCGCGCCCGCCCCGATGCCAGCGCCGGACCCGGACCCTGCATCGGGCTCCGACCCCGCCCCGGTGCCCCCAGCCGCCGACGCCCCCGAGGCCGACATGTGCGCCCGCGCTGGGGGGCCGCGGAGC